ACGTGTTCCTACACAGGTGATACCTAAAGTCGCAGATCCAGATTCTGAATTTTCATTACTGAAAAGTGGCACTAATGATTATGTTTCTCTGTTCCATCAATTATGGCTGCAAAGTCAGGGGCTTTTTGTGCTTCCTGGTATACGATTTTTTTGCAGTATTTCAAAGACAACAATGAAGGAAAAGTGTGTGTGTGTGTGTGAGTATTGCATGTGTTTGCACTATGGGCAATGTACTCTCTCAAAAACTACTCTTCACTTTCACCCTACTAGACTGTTGTTCCCAAAGTACTCTTAGCTGTAATCCTTTATTCTGTTACCAGGAATAAGCCCGCTAAGTTCAAACAGACTTTTTCAGAGTACATGTATCCAGGAAGTTCCTTTTACAAAACTTCTGGAAAACGACCAGGGTTTTTACATGGAGAATGTCACTATCCCACATTTCCAGGAACTTCAGGGAATATCTGCTTTCCAGCAAGCCCTTCTGAGTTGCTACCTGCCTTTTCTGGAGGTTGAGTCATGGCAACTGGACTTCTTTTTTTTTGGTCTGATACGTTTTGCTGCTTGTCCAGGCAGCTTCTTCAGTCTAGAAAGTTGGTTGGGGGGACCTCATAAACCAAAAGAAAAGAAGTCCAGTTGCCATGACTCAACCTCCAGATAATTCCACCTGGATGACTGAGAATCTTCATCAACATATTACCATGCTGCCTTCTTTCTGATGGCTGGTCTCCTCTTAAAATTGCAAAATAGCCAGGAATATTGGAAGGCTAGAACAGGGCAAAGCACTTCTGGCAAGCATCGCAGCCCAGCCTGAAGCTAACAGACATGCCAGGAGGCAGGGAGCAAACGTAATTTTCCTGCCTACTGAAAAGTCTCCTGGCTATAGCTTCTGCAAGCTGGACTCGAGCCTCAAGGAGAGAGGGGAGACCTTTGGGAGGACGCATGAGAAAGAAGGATCTTAGTCAGCAAAAGATGAGTATACATTCTAAGAAAGGAAAAAAAAAATTGGCTTATTTCTCACTGTTGATGTCAAAGAATGAGACCATGGGCAAGATTCAGGACTAATGAGTTTTAATAAATTCTACTATAGCAATTAGCGTGTGCACTTGGAAATACCATCTCTTTGACCCTCTCTTCTCTCACTGTCAATATCAACACCGCATTAGGAGAAGCCCTGTTTTATGTCTGCTCACAACATGCTCAACAGGACAGCAGCAAATAGTTCCAGCAATTCATTAATCAGAACAGTTCCCTAGATACTGTTATCACAAAGAAATGGGAGCCTCCTGCAATCTCTGGCACAGAGTCAGATGTTCCAACAGTAGAGAAGCTGAGCGTGTGTGTATACATATATTCTGAATGGGAGAAAACTAACATGCTTTCACGGTCACAGAGGCATGTTAGTGTTGGAGGGGTGAGGGGAACCACACAGCATGAAGAGATTTCTGGACTGATTCACTCTTGTAGACACAAGAGCGAAACAGAGCGAGAGCCAACTTTTTGAAAGAGTGCATCAGAGCCAACTACAGCAGTGGAGAGAGGGTAACCTCAAAGAGAGTGTGAGAATTCAGTTCATTCTGATCTCTAGCAGACACTGAAGTTGTTAACCATTTTCACCAGTAGATTAGACATAACTGGGAGAGTAAAAGGCTGTGAATTCTAATTAGGAGATGCTCCCGTGTCTGCGCATACTCTTGCAGTTCGACATAGAAAGAGAGGATTAAAACATTTCTTAAAACTTTGCCTTGTTCTGAGAGGAAGAAACAAGGATTTTCTTCGTGCTTGAATATCAAACACCCCCTAAAGAATTCTAAAAAAATACTATAAGAATATCTATCTTTTTCTGAGTATCAGAAGAGTCAAGGGAAAATGAACCCATTACTTCATTTGGACAAATTTATAGATGTTTTTCAGCACTTCTTATCAGAGCAGGTCTCAATCAAAATAACAGTACAAATGTGAAATGTATTTATAAAATGCTACTGTTCTAGTTTCTGCGCTTTACATTTGTTATGTTTTGTTATTGTGCTAATAGACTTTTTACTGTTCCTTTTAAGCTGCCCAGCAGACCCGTTCAAGGAAAGGCTGGCATTTATATTTTCTAAATAAATAAATAGAAATTGACCTTAAGACATATTTGTTGTAGCTACTTGGTTTCAAGAAACAGCTTTGCTGATTTTAAAAAAACACAATCACAAAAATCTTAGTAACTGATTTATAAGTTAGAAGGTCAGTGTGGGTATGGAATATTCTATGTTGATCATAAGACTTTAAAACGGTAGGCCTGCCAAGATATTTCACCTCTAAATTTGAAAGAAAGCAGAAGAAAGAATTTCTAGCATCTGAAGATCTCAGGAAAGTCCATCAAAAATATATACCAACCAGATAGACAGCCTTCAGCAACATTGCAAATGGCCAGTTGTAGGACAGGAAGCCACACCCACTTCCTGTGACATGGAGACACAAAGGAAAGGTAATTCATGATCAGTGAAAGTGTAAGTCTTGCTTTTAGCAATAGAATTTATTCTCCTTTTCCACTTTGCTTTCCAGACAAGAAAACACTTTTGGAAGCACTAAGTACTAAATCCTAGCTATAGCATAAATACTGGGTCTGCATGCTCTTCAGTGCAATGTTGAGTCTTCCCTCTGGCTCTGCAGACTATCAGCAAAACCACTGGAAGGCGCAAAAGCATGTACTGTATGTTAAAGTGAGATGCTTAAATATCTTGGAGCTAGCTCATGGCTTACTTGTAATCTTTTCTTCCCCCCAACTACAAAAACCTTTTTTCTCACTGTGAATAGTTTGGGGACCATTCTTATCCACAAAGGATTTCACTCCCACCCCCAGCCAATTTTCCAATGCAACAGCTATAGGTTGTTTTTTAAAAAATCAGTCACACGTTATGGCAAGCTATGTGACAAATGTTGTATCTAGCTTGGCTTAAATTGAGCACCTTTAAGTGCCACTTAATCAAGGCAGGATTCTTAGGATTCATTCAAATAATGTTTCAACTACTCATGAATACAAGAACATAAAATGGAATACAGGGAGATGGGGAAGACATGCCAGAACTTTGGTGGGTCTAATCCAGCACCTCTTTTCTGCACAGGAGGCAGTCCAAAGCTTCTCTGCTGCCTCCCCACAAACAAGTGCAGAATCCATTAATGCAGGGGTGCGAGATGGGATTTCAGGGGGTGTGACAATTTAATGCACTGAGTTAAAAGCTTATTTTTTAAGTTCAATTTGTTCACCTGCATTAGAAATTAGACTTCTTCATCTTCAAATGTGA